GGTTCTGAACAGGAACCGGTTTTCGATTCCCATCCCTAGTTGGGAATGTTTTGTGAATCATTGCCATAAGGGAATCAGAGAACTTAATAACACGTCTGTCCTTTAACCTCTTTTTGGGCATAAATAAAAAAAAAAAAATCAAATCTGACTCATATAAAATGTTATGGATGTGGTGTCAGGTGAACGACGTCGGAGAGGCCCGCAGCACTCAGCAGGCGCCGACGGTTGTTGTGTCTGAGCGAGCAGCACCTGATCTGAGGGTGGAGAACGCAGTCAGCCTCCAGGAAGGACACAATAAAAGCAACAGGTGAGTCCTTATATGGCCCCATCCGAATAGCTTGACTCAGTCCTCTAACCTTAAAGCTGATGTCTTTCATGATACAGTCTGTATGAGGCTAAAAAACTGTGCGAGCCTCTGTACCAGAACGTCCGAGCCACTGCGTGCTCCAGCAGCTCTTATGAGACCGACAGCGTGAGAAAACCTGCTCTGCATCACATGAAGCGGCAGAAAAAACTCACTGAACCCAGCGGGCCTGCTGCTCAGGAAATGATCGAGTCCCAATACGAAACTGGCTACACCTCCGGAGATACTGGTAATGAGCTGGAGTGGGATCACAGAGATAACCTGTACAGGTGGGCCTTCATTTTAGCTGAACTAAGTTGATAAAACAGGAAAAAAAACACAACAGTAGTGATCATTACTGTCAATTCAGTGAAAAAATAGCCATTACAATGCTTCACGTGTGATTTCATGACTAATGATCCAAAAAAGTTCAAAAGCAGTCCACTGGACTTTGTTTCCAAGTTTGAAGACGTTTCGCTTCCCATCCAGAGTGGACCAAAGACAAAGCCTTGTTGTGGCTTAGAAAACATGCAAATTGAACCGGAAGAACGAGTCTGCCCCTTTGGAATAGGGTGTGTTTTGGTTTCTCTGTTAAGGCCTGGTTATCCTTTATCAGCAGTGTGTCGCTGTGAGCTTGTTGCAGATATTTCTGATTTATGTAGGGTGACCAAATGTCCGTATTTCCCGGGACATGTCCGTATTTCACGTCCTGTCCCGGGCGTCCCGGGTTTTTTTTAGGAAGTGAGGAAATGTCCTGATTTTTTTAAATGACCTTAA